CAGTATTAAGTTTGGGGTAGTTTGCCATGAAGTGCCATTTGTTCTTTCCATGTTTAAGAATAGGTGAAATTGGGCTGTAAATGGAGAAGCATTAGAGTTCATTAACCATTCATTAATTAGGTCTTACTTAAGTGTCAATCCTTGAAGGCTCTGTTTTAATTTATATTGGACTGTATTAACCATTCTTACAGGGGGTCCATGGGAGTCACATTTTATCAAGTCAATATGTAAGCATCAAATATTTAATTTAATTTAAATTTATTACTCATTGAATTAGTTTATACCTAACATGGGGTATTTAAATTTTCCATAGCTACAGTACCCATGGTAATGGCAATGGCAATGGGTACTATGGCCATGGAAAATTTAGCAAAGGCTATAATTAAAATGAGGCATACTTATTTCTTCTCTATTATATATTTAGTTATTATCTTAATATTATAGGGATAACACACTTGAATTTAGTGGTATCTTCAGGTATAATTATAATCTAAGGCCCTATATTGATTAAGTCTGTGAAGCTTTATCAATTGATACATTTTAGCGAATGTGAAAGTTATTTTAGAATCTATGTTGTTGTACAGGCACAAAAATCAGTTAGCATACTTTTATTTTTTTGTTATATAATTTTTTATTAATAAATGTATTTTTCAGTGGGGTCCAATTATGGACCTTTATTTTAATTTTTATATATATATATATGTATATGTATATGTATATTCATATATATATGAAATCGTATCAAAATATTGATGAAATATATTTTCTAGCTCTATTCTAAGAAACACTACAGCCAATCGGTTTGCAAACTGTAAAGACTATATTAATATGATGGATGCACCTATCAATTGCAGCATTCAATTCCAACATTGTTTTGCCCACAGACTTCCTTTCAATAGAAACCATTCATAACGCTACGGCGAAAGGTGGATGGGGTAGGCTATGCTATGCTGCCAAAGGTAGTGTTTTATATTTATTCAGATTTTTGAGTTTTTTTTTTT